ACAACTATACTCGGGTATGAGGTATACTCATTCGTTCATTTGATAATTTGGTCGTTGAGGCCTTTAGCTCTAAACCGTTAGTGCCGTTACCTTTTATCACGTTCGCCTTATTGAATCATTCTTTTCCCAAGATTTACTCCAATCTCATCTTGTCATTCGAGTGTTTTCTTTTGAAAACAAAGTTATGCCCTAGCAGTCCCTGAGCGTTTCGAAGGCGTGACATTTCGCCTTCGAAACGCTGGTTCCTTTGGAACTTCAAGAAACACTAACTTACAAATAATACCAGAATGGCTGATGTTTAACACGGCTAAAATACCCTAAATGTGATAGAGCATCGTTAACCCTCGCCCCAGTGGGGGAGGAGGCATATATTACCACCCTGTCGCGTTTCTTTTGCGTGTGGATAAAAAACCGCGCCGCTTGGAGTAGCTTTTTGTGCATCAATTTTGGACAATGTGTGAAATTTTACCCCAGGTCATGTCAGGTCAGGTCACCAGGTCAAGTTCTGACCAAGCCTCAAAAAAGTTTGCAATCATGTCCAGCCTGCAGTGCTTGTCAGAAAGGTTTTAAACTTGGTAAATTGCATGATGTTATGGGCACCTACAATGTGCATATCTCGGATTTTGTTTATATCCGTGACCTAAGGTCAGGTCAGTAGCGTGACCTTTCCATTATAAGTCAATGGAGAAAAACGAAAATGCCTCTAGATCCGTGTGTACGCAAAGGAACAGTCCAAATATTTCAGAACCACAATGATTTGGACCACCCGTGACGACCAAGGTGTTTTTTTTTGCTGATAGCCTCTAGAGAGGTCATCCGAGGTCATTTGAGGCTACAAACAGATTTTTGCCAAAAACTCTCGATTGGAAGGAGATAGAACGCTGGGGATGGTCTCATTATGTTTGTCTTGCCGAGACGCATCGACTGATATGCAGCATGACCTTTTCCGGTCAGGTCATGACCTTGACCTGAGGTCAAATTTTCAAGTTGACCTTTCAAGGTCAAATTATAGTTCATTCGACGCGTCTCGGCGAGAGGAACACGATTCTGGCAATAGAAAGGTCGTGGTGGCGGTCTTGAGTCAAAAGTTATTGGCGAAAAACACTTTTCGGAAAAACAGCTATTATTGGAGTTGTTGCCCTCTGGAGGCTAAACCACTGACCTGAGGTGATTTTTATGATGACCTTATCAAAAGAAGAGTTCAAAAGCTATCGATTGCTTTTCCAAGCGTTTTTCTAACTATCATAGTTTCTGAGATAATTATCGCATGTTTTCTGAACAATAACATAATGACAATTCGCAAAATTTTGACCTTTGATGACCTCTGGTGACCCCAATATTGCTCTAAGATGAAAAATGACTGAAATACTTTTAAACGTACTCATCGAGAGCTATCGAATGCTTTTTACCGCGTCTTTCTAGCCCTCTTAGTTTTTGAGTTAGAGGTGGGTGGTAACATATGCCCCCCCCCGCCCACACACACTAGGGCGAAGTTGGCTGAGACCGCCACTGGGGCGCGGGTTAAGGTTAACCCTCGCCCGTATAGGGGGGGGGGGTCGAACGGACCCCCCCATGGTTTTTCGCAAATAACTCGCGTAAAAAGCGGCCGATCGCGACGAAACTTTCAGTACCCTCGCGTTAATCAATTTTACACCTACTCTAAAAATTTCATGACCCTGACCCCAATGACCTTTGACCTGTGACATACTTTTCGAGACCATGTTTGGCCGGAATCGCGATTCGGCGTATCTCGGCTTGCATTAGCCGCGCGTTTGCAGTCTTTTCGTGGTTTCAAGCGTTCAAACATGTGATATGATGTTGCCCCAGGCGGTAGGTTGGGTGTCAAGGTCACCTGAAGGTCAGGTCAGGTCATTGACCTTTGATGACCTCGGTTCATTTTTTCGAGTTTTACATGTTCCTAGGCCAGTTTTTGCAGCTGAATTCGAATTTAGCAACCATTTGAACATTTGCGAAGTAGTTTTGGTGCCTTCGTAACATGTTACGAAGCTGACAGAGGCGGTTGACACCTACTAGGAATACCCGGCAGGACCCCTACTGGTTGACCTGACCTGACCTGACCCGACCTGGACTAAATGCATGAAGATATCATCTGTGATCAAAACTAACATGATATTCGTGATCAGCACCCCGAAAAAACCCGTAGCAGCCACACTTTACGACGTTCTAACAGGTCCCGATTTTCCCGACTTTTGGGTCATTGACCTGACCTGCAAGGTCAACCAATGACCTAGGACCTTAAAATTAGGTATCATCGGCTTCCTCTCGTCACGGGCAACACGCTCGTTTTTTCCGCGAAGCTCTAGCTTGATCAGGGGCGAAACGGCAAGGGGGGGGGGTCCAACGGACCCCCCCCCTTATACGTTCGCGGCTGGAAAAACACCAATACGGGCGAGTGTTAAAGTCCAATTTGAAGTAAACGAAAATTGATCACGTCATCCAATTCTCTGATAACTGGAGTAATATTTGTTAACGAACGTACTGTCTCGTGATTTGATTTTTCCCCTCCTCTCTCTCTCTCTCTCTCTCTCTCTCTCTCTCTCTCTCTCTCTCTCTCTCTCTCTCTCTCTCTCTCTCTCTCTCTCTCTCTCTCTCTCTCTCTCTCTCTCTCTCTCTCTCTCTCTCTCTCTCTCTCTCTCTCTCTCTCTCTCTCTCTCTCTCTCTCTCTCTCTCTCTCTCTCTCTCTCTCTCTCTCTCTCTCTCTCTCTCTCTCTCTCTCTCTCTCTCTCTCTTAACCCTGAACCCCGTTCAATTTAAACCCCAGAGCAAATTTAAATGACAAACAAGTGAAGGTTCTCTCTCCCCACGGTGAAAGACAATGGGCAGTAACGTGAAGTGACATCACCTATTTGAACTTAGTTCGTCTCCCGCTTTGTTGTTCCCTGCTGGCGAGAACCTACCTCCAGGGCCTCTCTAAGACTGCTCCCATTTACATACACCTTTGTCGCAAGCGCTTGAAGTCATTTTCTCTTCAAACAGCGGCGTTGTTTGTTTACAGCAGCCCTCAGAGCGTGGGGGCCAAAGCCCGGTGCCCGCTCAACCTGCAGCTTTAGCTCCAGAATTTGGTAAGGCTCATCAGAGGTGGATCCAGCCGATCCGTTTGGGGAGGGCAAAGCTTCCGACCCATTCGGCGGTCCCGACCCACCGTCGCACCGGTGACTAAGTGAGCTACAACGCCACACTACACCAGCATGCATTCACTCCGTTTATCAGCATACCATTACCGAATACCGACCCAAATCTTCAGAAACGAGCGAAGTCCTGCTTTTCGTCCAGATTGGCATCGACGCCGTATTAGATTTTCTCATCTTCGGGAGGGGCAAAAAGATAGTCTTGCCCACACGATTTAGCTTTGGTGAGGGCAAATGCCCATTTTGCCCCCCCCCCCCCCCTGGATCCGCCACTGAGGCTCATTACGCAAGGATTTTGACGGATTTGCCTTGATTTTCATGATTATTTGATTTCATTGTATTTTATTTTGACGTCTTGCGTTCGAAATAAACAAGAAAGAAGCGCAATTGATTCTCCCATCAACGTCTGAAACTGCTGCATTGTGGCATGAGCTGCTACTGGTCGAGTATGTCACTGCCCGCGGCGCCCTTCGAGCAAGTGGGACCTATTTCACGGAGAGGTCCCGCGGTTCGTCACTCGCTAAATCATGAAACACATGTCCCGCAATATAAAACCCCGGACACATGAAAAATGTAACCTGCTGGGTCGCCGGGATGGCCATTCCGAGCCCTCCTGTGAAGTGAGGAATTTCTGAAAACTCATCAACTCGGTCTGATGCGCGAGACCTCTGGAAGTTCGGTTCATTACCACATTGTGCATCATTTACCATTCGCTCGCCGAAGAGTATTACATAAATGTCCTTGGAGAATGGAGATGAATGCTCAAAATAACATGTTTTATATTCATATAGCAGAAACGCCTAAACGGCCTTGCCCTTGGGCTTGGACAGCACTAGCAGGATGTGGTTTTAGAAACAGTAAGCGAATTTTCGTGCGATATTGTAAGATAAGATTCGGTTTTGGAAATAGTTAGCGGCATTACTTGTGAAATTTAATATGGTTCGATATTAATGCCTCTACATCCATTTTACTTGCACTCTATTGGACTAAAATGGGTCATGGGTCACGGCCTCAATGCATTTATCATGTTCCCGCAGGGCGGGCGGCCGATTCGCCCACTTAAACCCGGGCCCATCGCTCTTCTGCATGCTGATTCGGCGGCTGGGCGGCGTCGGTCGCGGCGTCTACCCATCTCCCGTCTCCGCGCCGTCAGCGGCCGTCGGTGGCGACGATCCGACCCACCCGTCACCCGACCGGGAGGTCATCGGCGCCGGCGACCGCGGCGGCGTCACCGCACCGGCCACTAACAACCCAATCGACTCGTATTTCTGGCCGACCGGCCCCCCGAGAAACATCCTGTTAGCGGCGGCTATAGTGGCGCTCTTGCGGCGGTGCTTGCGCCGCCGCTACGGTCGCTCTCCTGGCCCTGTAATGGCGACCTCAGAAGCCAAGGGGCGGCACTAACACGGCAACATTCTGATTTCGTCAGGCGAAAGAGAAACGAGAGCCGTTCCCAGAGCCATCGCGAACGTTTGCGCCGGATTTGAAAGGCTTTGGGAACATCGCCGTGGAAAAGAATATCACCCGGGATTTTGCTGAGGCTTCAGCTGCCCTTTGCACAATGCCGCCTGGCGCAATGGCCAGATATAATGAGACGTCGTGCAGCCGCGATGTCTATAAGATTGTAGCTGACAAAATGGTGTTTTGTTGACACATGGTGCTTCTGTGTCTACGAGTCCGACTTTGTTTGAAGGCGTGGGCCTGCACCCCTTATATCTGTATCAATGACACCATTTTGCCACTGTGACTGTTTCTCGATGCATCTATAACACGTCGTTAATTAACGCTGTTGCAGCATCTCACTGCCACCCCACCTGTGTATATCTCTGACGGCTGTTCTGTGCGCGGCAGCGGCGGCGGCGGCGGCTGACCAGCCGACCCACGACTACAGCTCGCTGCTGGAGAGCCTGCGCCTCACCGGGCCCGTGTTCGACCCGCTGACACCGACCAACGTCACGGCCCAGGTCGGCTCGCACGCCTTCCTCCACTGCACCGTCCACCACCTCATGGACAAATCGGTGAGTGGAAATGGATAAGAGGCTTTTGGGTAGAATGACTTTCCGAATACCGCCAGTACCTCGCGACAAGGAAACTTCTTTTCAAATAGGTAATAAGCCGTTGCGCTATGCCTAGGCATCGAAAGCTCAATACGCAGAATCACACACGAGCACAGACTCCACGTGTCAGAGCCCGCTGCCTCTAGTCAGTGCCTCAACTTTCGGCGGACATTTGTCCGTATTTGCGATAGCAGATAGATGTGCCACTACTTGGGACGATGGCCTGCAGTGATGAGCCCATTGACGCAGTCGTCGGCCACATTTTCCCGATGAGGCTATTCATGGCGAGCCCGGGTGGGTGGAGAGGTCCGGTCGCCGGCAGGACGCCTTCACGGACATGAAACCCGCCATTTGTCAGACGCCTTGCAATGTAGTTTCTTTTAGAAGTGCTCAACGATTTCACGATAACATTATAATATTGGTACCGAGCCAACGCCAAGGAGTCTCATGGTAATCTTTGAGAATAGAAACTTCAATTTTGGTTTGATTTGCGAAGGAGTGATGTGCAAACATGACCCCCTAGAGTCCTATTGTGGAAATCACGTCCTTCATCCGGTGACACGTGTGCTACTGTTGGCCCAATCCTTATATACGCTGGCCTTGGGACCGCGGTATGGGGCAGCGTTCATTGATCGATCCTGCCCGTTATCTTCCCCGCTCCTCATCCACCGCCCCTCCCCGATATTCATCCCCCTCCCCTCCCCTCTCTCTCCCCGGCCGGCCGTATCTGGCCAATGCCTTGTAACGTTGTCGGAAGATCAATGGAGCACAGCAGAACGCATAACCTTCGAAGATGCAATGATTAGTTCATGTTTGACAGCAACGGCATTTCGTATCTAGCCCCGTGGATTCATGAAAACAATCTCACGCACTTTCTTGTGCATTTTCATGCATCACTATCAGTGACTAAGTGCAAATTGCAGAGGTAGTTCTAACTATTCTTTGAAACCTGCTATGGATGCCTATTTTGGGGGCTCTATTGCACCATGACACCGCAATGCTCTTTTCGTCGCCATAACAGCTCAGCCAGGACTGGCCTCACCGACTGCTCTATTACGTGTATGACCATTGATCACGCTGTGCCGCCCTTCCCCTCCCCCTCGGGCAGGTCTCGTGGGTGCGTAACAGCGACTCCCACATCATCACTGTGGACCGGTACACGTTCATCGCGGACGCGCGCTTCCAGTGTCTGCATCCGGAGGACTCGGACGAGTGGACGCTGCAGATTCAGTACGTGCGGCCGCGCGACGCCGGACTCTACGAGTGCCAAGTTAGCACCGAGCCGAAAATATGGCGCACCATTCGGCTCAGCGTGGTCGGTGAGTTCTGCAGAGAAGTTGTGTGGGAGGCTAGTAAACACTAGCGGCGGCCGCGATTGAAAACAGTTTTACGGGGTTTTCGGTTTCCAGGTCTTGTTTTCGTCATCGCTGACCTTGTTTTTGCCAACTCCTAATAGGAGTTACGTTAAATGTGCAGTCGTCAGAAAGTTAGTCTGGCTCCCGTCATAAGCATACGTGTCACTGAATAAAATTATTCAGACCGGACTTTCAAGAAGTTTCTTGGTCCGCTAGCCGCTCTTTGTAGCAGCCCCATGTTTTCATCAACGCGTTTCCAGTTTTCTAGTACCTACCATCGCAGCTGAGCGAGCACTGATAATGATGCTGATCAAAACGTGTTGGTTTCACATGCCCGACTTACGCGGCGCATATTATTTCTTTCTGCTGTATGTAGGTATGATAAACGGTAAACGGATTTTTAGGGAAAACGTGTCAGCACCAACGCTAACAGCCCCCCCCCCCTATAAAAAAAAACGAAAGATAGTGTCGAACGCAGCATATTTCAATGTAATCATTATGTTTTGTGTAAGCGTTATGCGTCTTCTCAACAATGGACGGCAGGCCATGCGGAAGTCATTCTGTCATCTTTTGTAGGCTGCAGCGAGCGCCCGGCCTGGCGCCCGATCGTACATCAGGGCTAAGCTCGCGGCGCGGTCATCGTAATACCGAGCAGACCCATCATTTATTTTCTGAGCATGAGGCTAAATAAATCATTTTAACCCTCGCCCATGTAGGGGGGGGTTGGTGCAACCCCCCCCCTGAGGTTTTTCGGAAATAGTGCAAAAACGGCGGCGCGCAGCGCCGCCAAATTTTGGGTACCTTATGGGGCAAACCTTGCGCATCTTTTGATGAAAAAAAATTGACCGGGTCATGTCAGGTCACGGAGTTATGACGTCACAAAGGGAACAGCCTCCGGCCGGATTTTCACAAACTAAGTGCCAACGCCCGAGGTTTCCTGCCGGTGGTACGGACATCGGTTGATGGATCGTGATGAAACTTCCCATGCATGTTGGGGCAAGTATTGGCTATCATATGGTATAAGAAACTTGACCGGGTCAGGTCAGGTCACGGAGCTATGACGTCACAAGAGGAACAGCGTCCGGTACTATTTTTGAAAAGCGCCCCGAACCACTATTTTGCTAATTCTTGTCACCTCAATGGGAATATGCAGCAATATTAGCTTCTATAGGGAGCAAATGGACCTTCCAAATCCAAAAATACAATCAGATTTAAAAAATTAAATTTTGATTTTTCGAATTTCTGCCGCCGACTGTGACCTTGCCGACTTCCGGCGCTCCCAACGCCCAATTTTTAGAGCTAGGGAAACGAAATACATACCAAACGATAGAGAATTGATCAAGGAACACGATAGTGAAGGTTTCAAGTCGATATCTCCCACCGTTTTGCCGCAATCGCCGCGGAAAGTTGAAAAAAGTCTATTTTTCCGAAAATTTGACCTTTGACCGGTCAAAAGTAGGTCAAATGTTGACCTAGGACCAAAAAATATACCACCAATCGCGAGATCTCGGCGAGAGCAATCCGTTGGTCTTTTCCGCTAAGCTCTACGACGCTCCGTTTCCAAACGCCAAGGGGGGGGGGTCGCACCAACCCCCCCCCCCCCTGCATGGGCGAAGGTGGCAGATCGTCGTTTACGGGCGAGGGTTAAAGCATGAAAGTTCGATGTTTGCCAAATATCGTGCACTTATTTTTACCATCGCTTCTCAAAGGACATTTCACCTTACATGAGAAAATATGTTTGAGATAGCAGATACGTCCCTCGAGGGCCCAAAAATTTCATGATTCGCGGTCTTTCACCTGAAACTTCTCGGATATCAACAGTTTGAGAATTCAAAGTCATGTGACGCTTTAATTTCGGCGCCTGGTGGATGGTTCAGAGGGACCCAGCGTCTGGGTGATTAAATGTTTTACGCGGCGATGGATTTTGAATGCATGCGCAGCCGGGAAAACACAAATGATCCGGGCAGTCCTATGTTTCAAACATTTGCCATTTTTTCTTTTCTTTCCTGTGTTTTCCTGAGAAAGTGTTTCATTTGTCTTCCTAGCTCTAGTAATTGTCTTCCTTTTGTGTAGAGCATACCACTTTTAGAAACTATGTCGTGACAATCTATCTAGGCACCATTCTGCACAGCCATGAAGTATTGGGGACAGGGCACTCCGCGCTACCACTTTAACCTCAGTACATGAATCGTCACAGTTCCTCGCGCAAAATGAATGTTCACAAATCCATCACACATACCTTTGCTGCGGACATCAATTAGTCATTGTGGAATAGCACAGTTGGTGCCCACTTGCTGTGTAACCAGGTGGTAATATATAGTGGCGTGGCAGCGGTAATGTGGCACTATATCGTCACAGTGCCCAGCGGCCTGGATTAACGGCGACGGCAGTCGACATCTTTGGCACACACAGACACACAGCCGGTTGGGGCTTTGTTTAGGTTTTCTGTCTCAAATTTGTCAAACCCTTTCTGTGATGAATATAAAAATAGAAAATATCAGAATTGTTTGCATATGCTTTCCACGAACACTTCACTTCAAGCCTGCGCCCATAAAAGAGTTTTTTGGTCTGGTTGCTGTTACTAAATGATGATGCAAAGCTTATTGTTGGGTTAGATGACTTCCGGGGTGTGCTGCTACGAGCGTGGAGCACCCGTTAGCTCCAAATGGCAAATATCTGCGAGGCGAAGAAAGCGAATGAATAATATCCTCTCAGCTTTCGTCCATTTCGAAGATAAATAGTGGTTTGATGGTGATATATCACCACTAAAATTACGCACACGTATGTCGAGTAACGCAACAGGGCCGGCGAAAGATGTCTAATCTCATCGCAGGGGATTTTTGTATTTAGAAGACATTGATTCAGTTTTGAGGTTTACGTAGTGAGTAACGGGAGTATAATTTGCGTTGACGGTGCCACCGAGGCACTCTGTAATAGTGGATCAGTTTGATTTGGATTACAATGACCATTTCTCGAATCGTGTATGTTCCAACATAACTTATTTACTCTGTGTGAGTCAAGGGATTGTCGCTACTTGGGACATTTCCCAAATCTAAGCAGTCGTTCCAGCTTGGATAATTTTTCGTTACGTCGTATACAAAGTTACGCAATCCTCACCTTTGTAAAAGGCACCATAACCTTTCCTCATTGTTTCTGTGACAGTTTCCCGTCCTGTTATGTCCTTCAGTGACTTGTTCACTATCGCGGCGTCCGTACCAAGGGCTTTAGCGACTGGTCAAAAACTGGTCAGTAGTCGGAGACTGGTCAGAGACTGGTCAGAGACTGGTTAGAGACTTATCCGATATTGGTCTGAGACTGGTCAGTGATCAGAGACTGTATGGAGACTGGTCAGAGATCAGAGACTGTATGGAGACTGGTCAGAGACTTATCAAAGACTAGTCAGTGTCAGAAACTTTTCGAAGATTGGCCAGATACTATGTACATATAGTCTCTCAGAGACCGGTAGCCGTACCGCCGTCACACACTGGTCACAGCCTGGCGTCAGTACCGGGGCCTACAGAGGCCGGCACTCACCCGGATCAGGACACAGCTGCAGCCAGCCAATACAAACATTTACTGATTAGGGCTATTCATTAATCTGATTGTCCAGCAGTGCCTTGGGAAAAGCGCGCTTCGGGTCACCGGAGATGGGTCAATGATTGGTTGCCGAGGCGCAAAAACGTTCCTTTAGCTTAGAACAGCTCTCGCTTCCAAGACCAGACTGCTCAATGATGGAATGCATATGCAATAGTACCATCATTTTAGTGCCAAGTGAATTCAAAGGCCCCCATGGCCTGCACTCGTATCAGGCAAACTCACTGGCCCGCGCAGTTAGGGCTCAGACATTGTGCGAGTGCATTTCAATGTCTAATTTTGCACAGGTCCAGCAGCAAAGGGGACTCACCGTCCCTGGAACATGATCGATCCGTTAAGCACATTATAAATAAAACATTAGTGAACCACCAAGGCGTGTCGCTTGGATTGCCTGCGGAGGCGCAGTGGAGCTGTGTTGTGCTGGTGTTTTGGTATTCGTGCAGCGGATCAACGGGAGAAAGACTTGTTTCTCCGGCCCGCTGCCTCCACACGGAGAAGGCCCATTACCGTATTATGTCACGCAACAAATGACGAGTGTGCCTCGTGCCACGATGATCAATCGATGCCAAATTGTGGGTTTGGTTTCTAGACCAATACATGACGTCAAAGGCCACATCAAAGGTCGTCCAAGATCCGCAAATTGTGTGTTAGTGAAGCTTTTCTCATATTGCTTGGTACCAATTGTTAGGGTTTAGGTATACGAAGGTTGATACGGTTGATACCCTTAGCTAGCCTCCACGGCCACCATAAGGCCGTTTTTGCTACGTTAGGCGGCACGGGCGGACATCGATAGCAGCGCCTCTATCGGTCACTAGGGAAAGCTGGGCTGTGGGCGACGATATACCGGCTGAGTTGTCACACGTTGAATAGGTTTATAGCCATCCGTCTTGTGAAAAAGTTGAACTTTTGCCTTTAATGTTTCTACAGGCAATTTTAGAAGTGTCTTCACATGGATTACAAAACCGTTTAGATTATTGTATTCACTTCAAGCCTTCCCTATTGTTCTTGATGATGCGGGAACTATTTCTAATTAGTGTTTCTAGCTTAGTAAAAGAACATACTGTGCGAATGATGAAAAAAGCATAAATGGAAGATTTTAAATGCAATTTTCTCTAACAATTAATGGTAAATTCTCTACATATCAAGGAAAAGGTGCATGCTAACTGATAATTTAAAGTTCTTGGGGCCAGTTGTTTTCTTTTTTCTTACGTCGCCCCAATGGCCGCGAATACACTTGTGATAACGCCTATCGAAAAATAAGAAAAAAATGTACACATCACACACCACCAAACTAACAGCCAAACTGAACCAAACTCGTGTTCTGCAATCGGGGTGGCTACAGTTCACCCACGATTCTGTTGATGGATAAT